CTGGAATAAAAGGCCCACAGGATTTACACCAGTGGTACAAGGACAAAAGCAGACAAATAAGCAAAGCCCAGAGCTCTCATTTCCAGTTACGCCCGCGGCCAGCCTAGCCTGACGTGACCTTCCCCACCTCACTACTACAGCAACTGCCTATCAAATGTATTTAAGAGCTAAACACGGTCTACTGATTAATGTAATACTCACTTCCCTGATGACTGCATACTTCTTACAATTAAATGTTCAGCTTTTTGCTACTTCCTACTAGAACTCTTAGTTTTAAACAAAGTTTTCAGAAATGTTTGAAGATATACAGAGAGAACATAATCAGTGAAAAAAATTAAACAGTACCAAAATATCTAAAGTGAAAGCCCCCTGTAACCCCATGTCTCCACCCTTCCTCTAGGGGAACTACTATTAATATTTTGGTGTACTGCACAGATAAGTATTTTAAAAACATGAACAAAAATAAGAACACTACGTACACTTGCTCTAGTTATCAGTACCATGGGCCGCCTGTGTCATTGCAGAGAAACATCTCATTCTTGAGTTGCTTAGTATTTTATAACATAGCTGCTGTATTGTGCTTTGTCTTTTAATATTTTTTTTATTTTTCCCAGCTTCATTAAGATATAATTGACATATAACCTTATGTAAGTTTAAGGTGTACAACATGATTTGATACATTTATATACTGTGAAATGACTGCCACAGTAAGCTTAGTTAACACCTCCATTACCTCACATAATTACCACTGTGTGTGTGTGTGTGTGTGTGTGTGTGTGTGTTAAAAACACTTAAGATCTTCTCTCTTAGCAACTTTCAAGTATATAATACAGTACTGTTACCTATAGTCACCATGCTGCACATTAGATCCCCAGAACTTATTCATCTTATAACTGGAAGTTTGCACCCTTTAACCAAAATCTCCCCATTTCCTGCACCACCACCCCAGCCCCCGGCAACCACATTCTACTCTGTTTCAAAAAGTTCAACTTTTTTAAATCCCACATGTAAGTGAGATCATACAATATTTGTCTTTCTCCATCTGACTTATTTCATGCCCTCAAGGTCCATCCATGTTGTTATAAATGGCAGAATTTCCTTCTTTCTCGTGGCTGAATAATATTCCATTATATAGATATGTATTTTACACAAACACACACACACTCTTTCTACTGGTAGATTCTTAGCCATATCCTGGCGATCATAATATGAATAATGCTACAGTGAACATGGAAGTCCAGATACCTCTTTGAGATCCTGTTTTCATTTCCTTTGGATATATACCCAGAAGTGGGATCCCTGGATCTATCTAATAGTAGGTCTAAATTTAAGTTCTTGAGGACCCTCTGTACTGTTTTCCACAGTGGCTGCACAAATTTACATTCCCACCAACTGTGCACAAGAATTCTCTTTTCTCCACATCCTTGTTATCTTTTTCATAATAGCCATGCTAACAGTTGTGAGGTGATATCTTTTAATATTTTTAAATTAATTTTTTTATTATGAAATTTGAAGGTGTAAACAATTTCCCCATTGACAGGTATTGTTAGTACTTGGTACTACTAATAACGCAGGAAGACCCTCACATACCCAATTCTGTGTGTCTAGTGGACATTCCTATGGGAGAGAGTCTAAGAAATAAAGAAATGTATATTCTGTGCCCCTGGAGCTGGATGACACAAGACACCTGCTCCATTACTGTACCAGAAGGTTTGACGTTTAGTTTCCAAGTGGCATTTTATAGTTATCCTTGCTGTGACTTACTGTATCAAATTTATCAAAGTAAGCTTTTGGAAACTAAGATGTAGTCTCCTTGCACTGTCTGCTGTTTTTATATGCCTGAGAGAAAAGGCAGGGACCTCTCTCACACTGAGTATGATTTCCCATGGTGTGACAACTCTGCAAGCTAAAAAGCTGATGTGGCAGTCCTTTTTATTATTAGTTTCTACACTGATACTTTAAAATAAGTAGTAATTAAATATTTTAATAGGCTTAAAATTTGGTTATTAATCTATATATACATGGACTAAGTGGCACACTTAAGTGACTCAGATGACAGCTACATAATTCGACTTTTTAACTGGCTTTTCTCCACCCCAGCCAAGCATAATAAAAATTTAACTTTCCCTTCTTCTGAGAACTGGAGAATGGAGCTTTCACTCATGTAAAAACCAGTTCTTAGGCATCACAGCCATCTTTCCACCCAAGAATTAGGGATGCAAATCCACACTCACCAGTGTGGCAAGAACCAGGGGAGGCTGGGAGTCACTGAGCTCCTACTGCTAGAGGCGAGAGGTCAGGAAACCACCCTTCTCAATTGATAAATCACATGTTAGGCTGAAGTCCAACAGAAATGCAACATCCAGCTCAAATGAATCCTGAGTTTTCAGTCACCAGCTAGTGGTCTTAAGAATCTATCAGGATGTCTTGAAAGCATTAACTCTACAAGGGTGAGCATTCTTGAAGCCCACGCCTCATCCCCAGTTTCCTGCTGAGTGCTGGTTGCTCAGCACTGCTGTCTACAGTCCATTAGCAAGAATGAAAAATGGAGGTTGAGCCTGACCTAAGTGACCAACTTCAGCACGTAGGACTCAATCTCCCAGACACTGTGGACCACCTCCCCTGGTTCTGCACTTCCTCTCCTACCTAACTGCATAACACTCAAAAGCATTTTTTAATTCCTCTTGGCAGAGAAGCCTGTGATACAAGACATTTTAAAGTGGCCTGACAGTCATGCTGCAAAACTAACAGGTGTAACATTTTCCCAGGTGCATACTATGTGACAGGTACTGTGAGGAGACAAAGAATACAGGGACACATCCACCTTCAGGTAACTTTAGGTTAGGAGGGTTACATACATGCAAACAGGTGATGATCAGTGCTGTGTCAGGGGTAATTAAACATGCAGTAGAGGAATGCTTTCTGGAGTAAATAAAGCATAAGCAATGAAAAATAAAAGCAGGGAAACAGAGAAGAGGGCCCCAGCTAGTCAGGGCAGCTTATGCAGGCTCCAGGGGAAGCAAGTGTGCAGATGACATGTGAGGTGATGAAATTATTTCACAGCGGCTGAAACACATCAATGTTCTACAAAGTGAAGAGAAGATACATTCCAGAAGCTGGTGAGTAGTCTAATGTGACCTCTGACCCTGCACATGAGAAATGTTGCTGCTGTGATCTTACGGATGCCAGTCTGGTGGCTCCTCACTTTTTTTTAGATTATGAATCACTTGGCAATTCTGACATCAGCTGTGGATCCTCTCACCAGAAAAGTGTCTCTGGATGCAAGCTTGTTTATAATTTCAGCAGGTTCAGAGGCACCAGCAGAGCATGTCAAGACCCCTGGTACAAATGTAGTTCCAACTCATTCAAGCTCATTTTTCAGATGAGGAAACTATGAGGCCCATGCTGATGAACAAAAGCTGAGGTGAAGCCTACGTCTCTCAGTTCCTGGCAATGCTCCTTCCCTTGTATCACTGCACTGCTGCTCTGGGGGGCACGTCTACAGAGCGTCCACTTAAACAGGGAAGCACCCCGCGCTCAGACTGTCCCTGACCGTCTCTACTCTGCCCGGCTCAGTCGCTCCAGCACCTCCACTGAGAACTTCCTGGGCCTGGGTCGTTCAACTAATTGGTATATATTCCATCAGACGGAGCGAGACAAGACCGCCAAGATGCACAGCAAAGGCTGGGGTAGGTGGACACCTGTTTCTTTCTCAAGCAAAGCAAACAGAACATGCTTACCTGTTCCCTGCCACATCCAGGACGTGCAGCTCTGTGGCCTGCGACACCTCGGAAGGGATCCAAGTTAATTTGTTGTCACGCATGCAGAACACAGTGAGGCTGCAGCACCCACCGATCTGCAACAGGGAGAAAATACAACTTGTTTCCAGGGTGTTTTTTGGGGAAATGGTGGTGGGCCTGTGTATCAAATGGCATGAAAAGGAGGCATAAAATTATACCACATGGTTTTAGTCTCTAATGACCAACTATGCTTAATTTAATCACACAAAACACTGAGTAGTCCAGAATGTTTATAAAAATCTCTGCATAACATTAAACACATGTTCTAAATTAAATCAAGAAAATAAACAACAGAGTCCAAAAATTTCACTCTGGAAAGAAGTCATCTCCGACTGCTATCTAATGCAACTGCATCTTTTAAATACGTTAACCAAGCACATAGGTCCAGACAAATATTATTTGGTCACATGGAGGTTTAGTAATTCTAGGTTTGAAAAGTTAGGGCAAAGATTGCACGTGAGCACACACACACACACCCCTACCTTTGAAGACCTGTCCATTACATTAACTTCAGGGTTCTCAGTGTTTCAGTTTATTTAAAAAAGGGGGGGTCATCTGATAGATGATACAGTACATTAATTTCCACCATACAACTTTTAATAGCTTCCATTCACAACTTAATTTGGTAAATTCCTCTTCCTTTGACCAATACAAAATCAACAATGTTTTAGCCAATAGTGAATTTGTTAAATATCTACATTAATCTCCCCAGCTATGACCTGCTGTCACGTGAAAGCATATTCAGTATCTACATCCATACCAAATTTGACTATCATTTCCTTTTTTTTCAAGTAAGCAGTTCAAAGGTAACTGAGCTTCATATAGGTCTGGTCCTCAATGAAGAACAAAAACACAAAAGAATTCAATGATTCTCTTGGACAAACTGGCTGCAGTCTGTACTGTCAGGAAAGCTGCACCAAGGGGGTGAGAAAAGAGCTCGATCCTAGACACATATTCTGCAGGACTCCACACTACCACATTCTTCCTGTGCCCACTCTCCTAAGAGCAATGGCTACAAAAGGCGTGTGAAGGGACCTATTGATGTCTGACATGTGGAAAAATACTCCAGAGACTCCTCTTGAGGAGGGGCAAAGACTTGATTGGATCTTCAATGATGTCTGAATCTACCTTTTGACTTTTTCTATTTATGTATGTGTTTAGTATATGCACATATCTGAAAGAGCAGAATGCCCACTTCTGAAGTAGCTATATAATTACCTTCATGAACAATCTTATTATGTCTTCCTTTTGGAGTCAATATATTTTGAAATAATATCTTTAACCAAGGTATTTAACCACAGTGGATATAAAGAAAAAATAAACCTAAGACAACATGGACTAACATTTATCCCTGGTCACCTGGAAAACACCCAGATATGCAGAAACGTCTTCAGGCCGTCCCCTTTGTTTCTCAGTGCTCACATTTCCCATCCCAGCAAAACTGGTTTATTCACTGTCCTCTACGATACACCTTGTATTTTTGGTTCAGCTGCTTCTTATAGAGTCTAACGCCCTTCCTTTTGTCTAAATCTTACCAATCATCCAAAATAAGCTGAACATCCTCTACTCCATAGTGTCTTCCCAGGATCAGCTGGTCCACATTGATACATTGCTCTCTACATTTCTTCCATATTTATTATCTATACAAACCCTCTGACAGATTCTTTGACTGAGCTACTATTTAATTTGCACATTTATATATAATGAGGGTGCTTGGCAAGTTTAGTGCCCATCCTATCTTCTCACCTGTGAAGACTATCCATCTACTAACATTTCTCATTTAGGTATGTTTATACACTTATATTCATTAATTTACTTACCAGTAAAAGGCTGCTACTTAAAGTTATTATCTGTGGCTATGTGTAGCAATTTTTTCTAATAAGAATCACTTAAGTGGCCTCTCATACTTTATAAATATAGGGCCCAATATCCTGTCCTACAGGGATCTTTTGTGGGGCCAGGCACTCCTCCCTCCTTTGACGAAGGCAATTCTCAGCTTCACTTGGGTGCCCAGAAATATCATGGAAGGAAAAAATCAAAACCCTGAATCTTTTGAGGATCCACATGATTAGATTCTCTGATAAATTCAGATGATCCCAACAAAAATCTATGCATGGGAAGGAACACTCAAGGTGCTCACGGAGGGGACTTCCCCCAACCCCACTTCATGTGGAGGGGCATCTGCACTAGGGTCGGGGCTCAGTAGGGGGACTGTGAGCCATAAGGGAGGCCTTGCAGATGAGCACATGGCTGAGGCTGACACCCCTCAGCCCTACCATCATCCTCCAGGGAGGCAAAGCAAAGCAAAGCAGATAACATCAGTTCTTCTCATTCATGACCATCCTGACGGGACAGGAAGTTTCTGGAGGGTGTATAGAAACAAGACTAGATTGTGATTTGTGGCACTTTGTCATGGAGCTGTGCACTGTCCCAGCCACCTGCAGCACACTGTTTTAGAGGCCCTGCTACTATACCTTGTGAACACTTTCAACTTGTATCATGGACATATACTATATATGCAAAAAAGTTAATTAAATTAATTAACTAATTAATTGATCAGAGAGGGCTCTAAAAGTTGTAGGAGCAATACAAATTCTGGACAAGTGAACACTGTTTAAACATTTGGGGGGAAGGTGAGTTCCCAATGGAGGATGTGAGCTGTCTACTGTTTATAGTCTCTTTTTTTTTCTTTTTCCTCTCCCTCTCTAATCTCACACACATTAGAGATGTCAAAGGGTGGAAAGCAATTGTATTCAAGAACCTCCTAGGCACTCTTAGTGGGTAAGGCAGGCGACCTCCTGATCTCTATTGTCTGTGGTTTTTGGAAAACAATGCCAACAAAGAGCAGAGTGTGGTTGCAGAATGCTAGGGAGGCTTTCATCATTCGCCAAGGGCACACGCTGTCCCGGGCAAACACTCACGAAAACAGAGCCTTTTTTCCAAACCAGCCAGGAAGGGATGGCGCGAACCTCTGGCTTTTAGGAAAGGTTACTAAGCAGTCAAAACCATAACTAAAAGACACAGTCCTTTATAGACAGCACAGGAATGCAGTGCACTGGAGGGAGCTCATGCTTTGAGATCACACAGACCTGGGTGAGAATTCAGGCTTCATCGTGTATTGTGGGTTTGAATATACTACTTTAACCAAAAGTAACAATAAGGATTAAATTAAATGAAACCGCAAATATAATTTAGCACCTATCACAGAACCTGCCTACTGCTGCCGCCAAAGAAATGTGGTAGCTATTGTTTTTCAAAGTGAAAGTTCCATATCCAAAGGAAAAGTTCAATCACCACTTACTTGAGTGCCTACTACGTTGGCTGGAACTGTGCTGATGCTGGTGAGCTCTTCCCTGAACCCCCCTGAACTTCTTAAAAAACCATCTCCCTGACAATATATCACAATGACATTTTGTGTCAATACTAGTGAAGAGTTGGCATGAGTTCAGTAGGACATTATACATATCATGCATACGCATTTTTGTTTTCTCTTTGGCGTTCAGGAAGCAGAGTTTACAGGTTCCTTAAAGTGGCCATCGGGATAACATGCCTATATCACTTAGAAATTCTGGGACGCAGAGTCACTGCTGAAATAACTTATTACCAGTCATGTAGGAAGCTGGTATTTTTAAACCTCCCTTAAACCACATAATAGCACCTTCCCAGAATCCAAGGGGTTGGACTTGGATCCTCTGAGAATCATAGAATATAACTGAGAATCCTAGTTTAGCTGTTTTGTGTCGAGTCAAAATGATACTGTCCTTACCTGTCTGTCACTGATCTAATCCATCTCAAGGAGATGGGACCTGCAGGCCATTAAGCAAACCTTTAGTCAGGTCAACTTTCACTGAGTATTAATTGCCTGCAGGTTACATTACTCTAGAGAAGATAATCAGACAGTTTCAGTGATTCCAACAGAAAGCCTACCTTTGTCTGCCCATATCCCACTTTGTGAACGCCTGGCTTAAGTACAAAGGAGCTTTCATTCCCTTCAGTAACTTCCTTTCGATATTATTTGTAACAGAACTCAACCCACATTTCATTGGCAAAAAGGAAAATGTACAATACGCAAAATCTGGTCAAAATACAATTTGAACAGAAATATTATGATGTGTAATTTTAGAAACCAAAGACTATTTTTTTGCCTTTTCTATCATCATCTGTGGCATATAACTCAAGTGTCCCCTACTTCATAAATATTTTGGAAACCGCGCTGGGACTCTGAATTGTCCCAAATATATCCACTAATAGCTATGGGGTTCTTCTTTCCTAACCATAAGAAAGTAACTTATGCTGACTGAAAAATAAAAACCTTACACACACACACACACATGCATACACCAACAATGAGAAAACAACTGAAGTCAGATCCTACCACAAAGGGATAATCAGTATTTAACAATTTGAGGTACAATCCGTCAGTATTATTGCCATGCAAATGATTATACACATACACTTCAACAAAATCAGGACCAACACTATGACCTTCAGCACCTTTGTTTCCATATGACATCAAGAATGGTTGCTCATGTCATTATATTTCTAAAAAGATTTTTATTGACGACACAATTATCTCATTCTACAAATATACCTCAGATTACTTAACAAATCGCCGTTATTAGACACTGCTAGTTAGTGCTTCCAATTCTTGTTGTATGATCTTGGGCAAATTAGTTAACCCCTCTGTTTCACAACTTGTCAGATATTGATAAAGATTTACCTATGCCTCAAAGAACTGTTATGAAAATAAGACAAGAATAAGCATGAAAGCTGACAGTGCCTGGCACATGTTAGTTGCCCCTGTATATGCTCGGCATGGTGCCTGCAACATGTCAGTTGCCCCTGTACATGCTCAGCATGGTGCCTGGCACATGTTAGCTACCCCTGCACATGCTCGGCATGGTGCCTGGCACATGTTAGCTGCCCCTGCACATGCTCGGCATGGTGCCTGGCACATGTTAGCTACCCCTGTACATGCTCAGCATGGTGCCTGGCACATGTTAGCTGCCCCTGTACATGCTTGGCATTGTGCCTACAACATGTCAGCTGCCCCTGTACATGCTCAGCATGGTGCCTGGCACATGTTAGCTGCCCCTGTACATGCTGGGCATGGTGCCTGCAACATGTCAGCTACTCTTACATGTACTGTGAGAAATATTATTGTGCATCATTCTTTGTGTATATCCATCATTGTTTTCCTAGGATAAAAGTCCTAGAAGTGGAATTGCAGAATCAAAGGGTATGTACACTTTTCAAGTTTTTAATAATATCATATTCCCCACTAGAGAAACCATAATAATTTATACTTCCTAGATAACATGCACTTTCCTGTAGCCTTGCCAAAATTTGGTATCATGATCATTTTTTTAACCTTGAAAATCTGATAGGTGAAAATGCATTAACATTTCTGTGAATACTGATGACGCTAAAATTTTTTCACATTTATAGCCATTTCTATTTTTTCTTCTATGAATCACTTACTGATTCTTGTGAGGGAGAGGGCTCTCTGCTCTCATTTTTGTCCACTTGTTTATAGTGGGAAGATCTTTTTCTCAATGATATGAAAGAATTTCTAATAGAGTAGGAGAGACCTCATTCATTTGTAATGCTGTAAACATCCCCCTGCCTCCAGGCTGTCAGTACCTTCTTAAAGATCAGAAACCTAATTTTTATATAGAAAAATCCATCAACTGTTTGTGACTTATTTCCTTTTTCAAGTTTTAGGAGTGCTTTCTCCATCTTGAAATCCAATGGTCAACTATATTTTATTCTAGTCTTTTAGGTTTTATATTACCTTTCATTCATCAATAAATCATTTCGAATATGATGGGAATATTCTAAATTATTCACTAAAATAACTGTAAATTGTAACAATAAGAAGGAAGAAAGCTATCTACAAAATGAATACTTGACTACCACAGACATTTCTGAATATCACCATAATATTTATGGATAATTAATGTTGACAGATTGCCTGATAAAGAAAGCTTTGATAAATGATCTGCAAATCCTACCTGCCTCATTTGACTGGACAGGTGTGATGTATTTAGGGTCACTACTATTTTAACTTAATACAGGAAAAGACTGGGGTCTAAACTTGGAAATATCAATTTCTTCCAGCCAGAAACTCTTTATGGTCCAGGCTATTTAAAGTTAAGATTTGTTTGGGGAATATTATGAAGTTACTGGCTGTCTTTCATCATGCCCATGATCACACACATACTGCCAACTCCCTGCCTATCCACAAATCATACAACAACACAGTCTCTTCTCTTTCATTCTTCCCTCTACCAAAAGTATGAGAGTTTTAGGGAACCTCCTTTTCCCAGAAGCATACATACTTAAGCAACAGGATGAGAAACAAAAGATACAAATAAGTTGCTTGAAAAATCAGAAGCATGCCACATGTAGCAAACAAAGCCAATCCAGCCTTCCCACTGGAGATGGAATGGTGCCAACAAACTGGGCTTTAGTGAAGACAGACAGCTGCCAAGTTATGCCTTGGAGAGTTTCTGAACAACTTAAAATGTAATTCACAGAGAAGCATTCTCTCCAGAGAAAATAATCTGAACAAATCTGACATAACAAATAAGGTTCCAGGCCATGCAGTTATTAAAAAAAACTGAGTTTCAGGGGAAAACGTCCAATTGTTTACAATGAAGTACACACAGAGCAGTGAGCAGACTTGAATATTCATGCAGGTATGAAGCAAATGGAAGGGAGAGATGCAACTGTGGTCTGAACAATACTTACAAGATAACAAGTTTACCTGACTTTTCTAAATTTCCAAGCAGCTAACAATTAAGAAAACAAGAGACATTCATTGATTTGCAAATGTTTACTACAAATAACACCACAAAACACAAACAATCTATTATTGTGATCCACACAGTACAAATATTTCCCCCTCAACCATTTGGGAAAAAAAAAAAAGCAAATAAATGCTGCTATAGGCTAAGAAGCTGTGCTATAAAACCGACAATAAACAAAACAATCAAATTTTTTAAAAAAAGACAAACCTAGGAAGAACTACAAAGCACAGCAGACCAATGGCAGTTAATACAACTAAGGATTTGGGGCATATAAACTGAAGTGGTCAGCATTTCTGTTTAGATATGTCATGCAGGCAACTTAATTGTTCAAAAGAAAGTAACAAAGTTTTGAAAGAAAAGAATCCAATCAGGAAAGTGAAGGAGTTGATAAAACGGCATCAAGTTTGGAGACAGAGTAAGTACACATACATGGTCGCTGGGCGTAAGCCCCACCATCACCCTGCCACATGCACACTCGCACACAGGGCCACAGGGCCTAGCACACGGATGCACAAAGACTCATGGCATGATGTGCAGCCCAGACCAACATGACGCAATTTGAGGTCAGGAGGCCCTCAGTGGCTTGGCTGCTCAGCCCCAATGGTCAGAGGCAAGCACTCAACCATTTCTGCTGGTTACCAAGCTGTGACCCGCAGCAGAATTGGAGACACATGCTCAGTGCGCCTCCGACTCTGGGAGCTGAGTGTGTGAGCAGCAGCGAAGGTGTGCTAGAAAAGATCCAGCTCCTAAAAGCCGAAACATTCTCTGCTGTATCTGGCAGCTGACGGAATAGGCATAGACTTCATTCCTGCATCACACTCCAGATGCCAGAAAACCAATAATGATTTCTGAGAAAGTAGATAAAACATGATAGCTTAATAAAATGCTTTGAAGCTAGAAATACTTTCACTTTTCAAATCATGAAAAGCTGTTTCTAGTAAATTTATGCAGACACACAGCAGGCACTAGGCATAACCCTCTAAAAGGAAACACGTAGTACAAGTTTCATTCTCTTAAAGTGAACAGAGGACTGAGGTTAAAAGGATGCCGATAGTCTTACAAAAATAAAATTCTAAAGCTCTGTCTAGAATGTATTCCTTTGAAAGAGAGAATCAAAAGAGAGGGAGTGGGAAGTTGGGGGCTGGAGGTGAGATTGGGGATTAACATGATACTTAAAAGTGCTCTCTTCAGCATTACCTTGAAATATTTCTAAAATGCATTAATTTTCTAAAATGTCCAAACTAAAGAAAAGTTGACCTTTCTTTATCAAATTAAGGTCCTGCCACATCTCAGGGTCACACAGATGAAAAGGCTGGGCTGAATCAGTGTTAGCTGAGTGGCCAAGCTGTTACCCGCCAGTGAAAGAGCCATGAGCTGGCTGTCGGGAGACACATCTTTGCAGCCAGTTCTACGCACCCCTAGCTACCTAAGCCCTAGTACGGAAAGATCTTTGTTGGCGTCAGTTTCCTCATCTGTGAAATAAGGAAATCCCATGACCTTCAAAGTTGTTGTGAGGATTCAGTGAGTTAACACATGAAAGTGCCTAGTCTAGCACATGGCACTGAGAGGAAAAAAGTTGTAAATCTTTTCTACTTCTCAGTGCATGTGTTTATGTGTCTAATCTATTACACATCTACATGTGCTATTCCACAAGAGTAAAATTAATGTGCAGAATAATGTTCAGCTCTGTGTTTTGGTTTATCACTTAGAGACTGGAAACAAATGTTTTTATTAGCAGAATCTCTTGTGTCCCAGTTAGGCTGAGATGTAGACTTAAAGCAGCTGGAAACAGTTTTATTTAGATGCCCGTGTTCAGATTGAGGATGTGTCAGAGTATGGTCATGTTTATAATAAACATCCTCGTGCATCCATTCAGGGGTGCCGTCTAACCCAGGGAGCAGCCTGGGACATGGAGGACAGAGCACCGAGATGAGGAAAGGAAGGAAGAAATCAGGCCAAGTTCAGGCACCCTGAGAAGCACCCCCGGAAAATGAGAAGCCCTCAAGTTATGGCTGGTTAGATGGCAGCTTTGAAATTATTCCAAGACAGATGTTGGAAACTGTCAAAACAGAGAAACAGAAACTGCACCTGGCCGGTGATCGTATCACACAATCCCACACCTTGTTATATGAGGCCCTCAGGAAGGGAAGTGACTCACCAACATTTGATGAAGGGAAAACCGGTGGCTTAAGCTTAGTTTTAGGCAATGTTGTTAATAAAAAAATCAAGCTCAACACTACCCATCTCCAATCAAGTTCCCCTAGTTCCTGGTAGATTGTGAGCCTTCTTTTTAAACAATACACGAGACGTCTCCATGTTTGATATGCTACGGGCTTCCTTCTCATTCTCGGCATTTTCACCTCCCTGCCAGAATCTAACTGCCTCTAAGTCCACAGAGCTCCTCTCCACAATGGACAGCGACTGCCTCTTTTCTCCTGCTTGAAACACTGACAAGGAAAAATCCTAAAAATCTGATTGCAGCTCCCCACTTGCCTTCATCTATGACACAGATGGTTTGGTGAAGAGCTCATTCACTCCTCTGGCATGAACCCTGCCCAGGGTCAGTCTCTGCCCAGGAACAGGGATGTATCAAGACCCATTTTTATAATTTCAATGGCTTAAGGGGCAGTTCAATTTTACATTAAATTCAATCAAACCCAAAGTCGTCCACTTCCTCTGCCAAACTCCCAAATCACCCATCTCTGTTGATGGTGGCACTATTCTCCGTAGGCCAAGCCCAAAATGTCAATCTCTCTCTCCCACCTACTCTCTTCAATGTTACTGATGATCACTCTTTGATCTGAGTCCTCCAACCATCTTATACTCACAGGTGAGAGTTCATGACTTTAAAAAGCACTACGTGAGTCTTTTAAAAGTATTTGACATTTCCGGTCCCTTCTGTGTTATTATTTCTTTATAATTATTATTTTACTATTTTTTAAAAAAGCACATACCTCTTTTGGTAAAGACACTAATTTATTTCTGTCAGCATTCAAGTTGCTCAACTTCTTAAGTTTTCCAATGCTCTTAGGTAAGGTCTGTTAAAAAAAAATTTTATTAACTCAACACATATTTTTGACATGGCACAGTACAACAGATCTTTTCAAAGACAAGAAGAATATAATCTTATCCAGTAACAGAAGTAATAGTTTTTACTGAATATAGGATATTTGTGAATTTCACTTGGGGGATGTGGAATTTAAATATTCTGCATTTTTGTTTGGAACAGGTAAACACCTAGTAAAGAGGTAATGAAGGCTCTTCAACTCAAGTGAGAATTTAATTATCTTCAAGATTCACCCCTTCCCTGGTTACGTCTCTGAGAACCACACTGATGTGACTGTTTGGCCGACTGCAGAAATCACAGCGTTGGGGCAGGGGATCTGAGTGCTGAGCAGGGTGCTGTGACCCCAGGAGAAAAGAGGGCTGCGTGGGCTGCTGTGTGGAGCACAGGGTCCTGCGGGAACAAGGCCAGGGCCCACACGGGGGCCTTCAACACTCTCACGGAGTCTGAGGGTGAATGTCATTTTTTAAATTGTTATGATTACTATTTGTAAGCCTAAAACCACAAACTAGGGCAGGAAGGTTTGGTCACTTCCCTGCACCAGCCCGAGGAGTCTGCTCTGGCTGCCTGAGGAGAGACGCTGCCACGTGCCCCACGTATTCTGTGTCTTTGGTCAACTCTGTCTTTTTCTGCTCTTTTCACCTAAAGAGCATTACTTACTCTTTTATAAAGAAAGAAAAAAAGGAGAAAAAGAGGAACAAGGAGAAGGAAAAGTAGGGTAAAAAATTAAGCGACATAATGAAGACAGCAAAGAGAGGAAGACAGGAAAAATAGCAGCTACAGGACCACTGGAAAGGAGCAAGAGAAGATGAAGAAGCGATCGACAGTGGGCTGGCGAAGGCAGAGGGGGCAGCAGGAAGTGAGAAGGCAACGGAGACCTGCTGCCACCCTGCTGACCTGCGCCTGCAGGTGGCGCACGCCAAGGCCTTTGCCCCAGGTGGGACGGGAAGCTTGGTCCAAGCGCTGGACACCTACAGTGGCCTCCACCCGTAAGTTCCAGGATGGGGCGAGATCACAGATCAAAGCCCAGCGGGTACCACTCTCTCGCTCCCCACAAGAAAGCATTCCTCCCCCAGTCCCACCGAGGCTCTCCCTGGCCCACCACCACGTCTCCCCCTTCTCTCCCGCTCTTCCACTTGCTAAAGAGCCCAGAGAGAGCTGCTTCCTCTGGAGGTCGCTGGACGCCATGGCAGAGGCATCATCAGCACATCCATCGACAATGGCTGATCCCCACCCCTCAATGGTGACCCACCCGGTGTCAGTTCAGTCCCTGTACGGTGAGCACCACAGTGGCTCACACTCGGACGGGGGAGCTGAAACACCACTCTCTTCACTTACACGGGTTAAACACCAATCCTCTCGGGGGCAGGTATTTGCTTCGCAAGTCCCTTTTTTGGATGTAACATAAGGAAATTTCCATTTAGTCCGCCCAAATGACAAATAAGTAGAGTCTACCCTAATAAGTCTTTATAACAGATAAACCACACTATAAATACGCATTCGGCCGCGCAGGCCGCACTCACCAGGAGTCGGTTCTCTGTAAGAACCAATTCAGTGAGGCTCTCGCAGTCCCCGATTGTTTCCGGCAACTGTGTTAGTCTGTTCTGATCCACCTTCAAGATGGATAGTTTCTTCAGTTTTCCTGTAAGAGCATTATTTAAACTCATTAGTTACAACTGTTTTCCTAATCATCACTTGGTACTTATTTCCTATCTGCTGTTCTTTCTTGTTTTAAATAGTTATTCATGTTTTCCACACCCAGCTCTTCAAGCTATGAAACTACATTATTCTCATTTAGATCACTAAAGGCTGGGAGTTAGAATAATGTGCTCAGAACATCAAAAACAGTCAGCAATTAGAAGCAGATCATTTAAAAAGTCGATACCTGCCCGGCAGGGCATGGCTCAGCGGTTGAGTGTCGACCTAGGATCCAGGTGATCAGGGTTCAATTCCCAGTCAGGGCACATGCCCGGGTTGCGGGCTCGATCAATGACTCTCATCATTGATGTTTCTATCTCTCTCTCTCCCTCGCCTTCGCTCTCTCTGAAGTCAATAAAGATATATTTTTAAAAAAAAAAGTCGCTACCTAAAAATACCATATCGAAGCCAGAAAATGTAAAGAAAAACAAACAGCTGACTCTTACTGGATCTTTAAAAACAGGAGACAGACTTTTATCTCACTTCAAGAGTACTCCTACTGAAGACAAGAAACAATGAAGTGCAGTTTATTCTATTGTGTACGAACGAAAACGCCTTGGTGAAGATCCCTGTGCTGAAGTATTTCTATACGTGCAGAATGAGATGGTAATCTTTGAAAAGTCTCATGAAGGACGGAGCCCATTTCACTTGGGGCAGGAAGGTGGACTTCCTGGTGGTGCCTTCATGGGGTGAGATCACAAATCAAAGGAAGGAAAACCTGTCTACTGCAGCTTCCTCAGAGTCCCCACTGAGTGAAGAAAATCCTCCATCATTTAGATTTCCATTTCAACTACAGCTCAGGGGGCTGAGCCTACAGCACAGAGGTCCTCTACTAAGAGTGGCTGACATGATTAACACTTTCCTCAGGAAAACCAGAAAGCAGCCCCTAGCTAAAGAGACATAAAGCTGGAGAATGGGAAATGCCGAGAAGATTAATTTGCCTTGTGTGGCCTACAGGGCAAAGCAGAACTAACCTTCTAGAGCTCTTTATTTAGCATAATCAGTCATCTACTACCGCTGTCCCCAGAGGGTTTCCACCTGTCCTATCAGGAGACACATTAGTGTTCTCTGCAGGGGACAATGAATTGCACCCCGGACATCTCACCCTAACAGAGGAGTCTCCCTAACAGTTGTTACCTGCAAGTGGTCTTGCAGGCTCCCCTGGAATACGTCCAGTGACAAGGTGCTCATTTCTTCACTAAGCAACCCAAACTAACTTGTAAAATATTTCTTTTAAAGCTCTTTCTTAAATCAAGTTGAGATTCACAGTCCTTGCACTGTTTGAACTGAAAGATGTAATAAATCTACTCCTCTGCCACAACATCCTTTCAAATGCTTGAAGCCAGACATCTCGTGCCTCCGATATCTTCCTGTTACAGGCACTAAAACATCTCTGGTTACTATAACTGCTTTGCAATGCCATATGTGATCCTCAGTGAACATTTCTACCTCTGGTCAAAATCCCCAAAAGGCAATGTCTACATTGCAGCTGAGCTGCTGTTACTGTTACCACCTTCATCCTAAACAATCAGGGAGGACGTGGTCCACTGCTATACAGCTTCTCCAACTACTGAAATTCTTTCAGAAAACTTCCTTTGATGTTTTGAATAAAAGTTAAATAGGATGGGTATTTTAATATATCTTTATTGATTTCAGAGAGAAGAAAGGAGAGGGAGAGAGAGATAGAAACATCAATGATGAGAGAGTCATTGATCAAGACCGCAACCGGGCATGTGCCCTGACTGGGAATCGAACCCCGATCCCCTGGATCCCAGGTCGACGCTCAACCGCTGAGCCACGCCCGGCCGGGCTGAATAAAAGTTAAATGAAGGTCAAAGACAGTAATCCTATGACAACTACATGGTTAAATATAGCTTCTTTGCCCGGCCAGGGGATCGGGGTTCGATTCCCAGTCAGGGCACATGCCCGGTTGCGGGCTTGATCAATGACTCTCTCATCATTGATGTTTCTATCTCTCTCTCCCTCTCCTTTCTTCTCTCTGAAATCAATAAAGATATATTAAAATANTGTATATATATAGCTTCTTACAATTTCTCAGTAGCTTTACTATGGTGACACTGCCAGTCCATGTCTGTGTATACCTTTTCAAACTGGAATTAATTTCTTTATGCTAAAGGGAATATGTAGACTAATTTTTTTTAAGGAAATAGCATAGAATGGTTAACATAAAAGATTATTTTCAATGCATCAGAAAATAATCTGCATTATATTCAGCACACCATGCCACCTTTAACAGCCCTTCGCCAGGTTATGCAATAAGGCCAAAGTTACATTCTTCTAAACTATTTAGAACGCTCAATGTGAAATTTCTTAGTGATGGCTCATATGCCTGAAACACATTCTACTATTTTGGCTAATCTCTACTGACATCACTGAGACAAGGTGTCGGTGAAGTAGATATGAGTCAACAATTATAAGAATACCTATAATTGCTACGAGGGTGAAGGAAATACTTGCATATAGAGAAAGTTAAGTTGTATTATTTTTGCATTCCGTCTTAAAAAGAAAAAAAAAAAAGCAACAAGGAAACTGAAGGAATAGCATCCCCCACATCCCCAAGCCCCTGAATGTGGTAACGGAAAGATTCTCCAAACGCTCGAACAGCCAGCACCTTTAGTTATTTCCAATACGTACCAATGCCATCCGGAATCACTTCTAATAAGTTCTGGGAAATGACTAAATCTGTTAATGAAGTCAGGCCACTGATTTCTTCAGGAAGTCTTTCCAACCTGTTTTCAGAGACATCTAAGCACAGCAGGTTCTTCAGATTTCCTATTTCCTACATCAGTGACAGAGAAAAAGAGACTCAGGCTGAAACCTGCCATAGCACAGAGGGATTTGTTACAGCAATATTTTACAATCAAATCCCAGAGTAGTCCTAAGGATGTTTCTTCAGTGTTTATCTAGATGTGAAGGCTGGAGTAAATTTCCAGACCCCCTTCCAATGAAAACGGGAAGCTGCATGAATCACAGACACAGTGCTTCGAGGGATGTCAAGTCCTCCAACTTTAGACAGGCAAGGGATCATTCACCTAACAGATGAAGAGACTGGCACCAAGAGAGAACAAATGACTTTAAGGTCACAGATTAGGACTGGGGGCTGGAATCCAGTTCTCCCAGTTTGGAATCAATCACTAAGTAACCATCTTACACTTCAGGGGGCCCCTGAGAGTTTCTCTGTTAAGAAACCATCTACTTTTTAATCTCCCATGACAGGCAGTACTTGTTACAACAAACATCAGTGCAGCTGCTTCCCAGAAAAACTAGAGCATAGAGCCCCACTGACACCTTTACCGTCAAGAGAAGAGAGAAGCACACTGCTTCTAAGGAAAACAGTCTACCCAGGAGTGGACAAGTACCTGAATGAGTCTAACAGTCAAGAGTTACCTTACCTTCCATTCACGTATTTTCTCTCATAACTGCTTCCACTTTTCCATTCCATTGCCACTCAATTAAATCCCCACTCTCATTACCCTCCTAACTGGACTGTTAGCTCTGCCTCTGGGCCTCTCTCTACCCTGGTCCATTCTACAAACTGGCTTCCACATTTCCCTCCTGGAAACATAGCTAGCTCTAGTCATGTAATCAGACCACTCTTCCACTCAAAAAAAGTCTAATGGCTCCCTGATGTATACATAAGTTCAAATTCCTCAATCTGTATTTAATTTGGTCTAATCTATTCTTTCCAGCTTATCACCTAGCAAATATGCATCCTATGGCCCGCCTCTGCAATTCCCGTCTATAGGAAACCAGATTACATTTCTACTAATTTCATGCCAGACCCCTGAAGTTGTTCTACTTTTCCATTAATTCCTTTTAATGATGTTGTTGCACCCTTTTCTTTCTGTCCTCGAGGAAGGTGAAAATAATCTGATTATTTGAGACCGTCTGATGTGTTTAGTCCTGATTTAACTGAAGTTTATACAAAAGAAGCAAATGAGCTGTTTAAATAACACAATCACTGGTATTCTGATTTCTTTGTGTTTAGGAGGTGGCATTTTGCACATAATCATTTATGAACATCTGTACAAACAAATACTCACTCCCCTCCTCATGTCTAATAGCTGATATTTTATTACTTTCCTGACAACTTCCTGGTATTTTTCCCCTCTCCTTGGACTCCTAAAATAACCAGAATTCTCTCAATCAGGAGTACTCAGATTTTTCTAGAGAAATCTGAGCAATAATCAAAACCTCACCCACACCAGTTGCTGATCTGTCCTTTCCTTTGCCCAAATGCAGCCTAAGTCCTCAGAAATGACTCAAATTGGGTCCTAGTTCCATTAGCTGTAATGATGTCATGGGAATTCCAGTGCCATCACTACAACAGTTACATTTTTACTTTGGTACTTCTTTCTAGTGTTGAGGCTTCCCTGTGCTGACAGGGCATTTCCCACCGGAAGTGCCAGCCTGCCACACTGGTTCTCACTGCCGAGCAGAGAAAGCATCAGTTACTGTCAAATGCAAGCACCTGGACCATCATGAAATACATCCTGACTTTAAAGACTGGCTGTACTACACACTAGAGAATAAAATTTAGTAATAGATGGAGGAAAAAAAATAAACAGGAGAATGTTCATTTATGAAATTAAAACTTTTAATATTGATTTTACATCAATTACAGGGCAAAATGTGGTCAAAATTATGCCAAAAAGGCACATCACATAGAGAGGCAGAAATGCATACCATCAGAATCAGGAGCCCTGGTAATTTACAAATTTGCTGGGCTGGAAGTAAGTCCTATGGGTAGCAAGGATTAAAACTTCTCAAAATAAAGGATATATTTGCTATCTTTAGAAATAGTGGGTTGAGGCTTTCAGTTTTTCTCTGGCAATACAGCATGATAAATGCTTACTATATTTCTTCAAATGTGCTTTCCAATCAAAGTATTGGGTTTTCAAGGTTCCTTTTATAGAAAATCTCATGCACAAGCAGGGAAGACATGAGGGTGGTGGTGGCTACTGAACAATGTTTTGAGGAACAAAATGTGAAATTACCACTTACCTGAGGTAATTCTGACAGCTGATTTCCGTCCAACCAGAGATCCTTTAAATGTAAGAGAGCTCCGATTGATTCTGGCTAAAACAAAAAAAATAATGTTACGGTAACAATAACCTAACATTGTCTTCCATTAAGAAAGAATCCTATTTCAACAGTTAATGGTTGAGTACCACAGAGGGTGTCTGCTGGTATTTCTCCAATATTAAGCCCCCTTTCTAAAAGCACCCCAACACTCTTCAACAATGCCAGTCATTTCCACTTATGCTCATCATCTCTAGTCCTGACCCCCATCCCCCTGAATCACAATTCTTAGCCTGTGTGAACTGTAGCACCTTCTTTCATGTTGTTCAACTATATATATGGAAATACTGGCTTATAAGCATCCCTACAAATCTCCCTCAAAATTTGTGTTCTAGGTAAGGAAAAAATTAAATTCAAATCACTCTACAATATGGACTTACCAAATTATATATTTCATTGTTTCCTAAATCAAGTTCTTGTAGTCTCCGTAGCTGGGTAAGAGAGCTATTTAAAAAAAAAAAAAAAGAGCTTAGTGAATACTTAGAAATGCTGAGCAATGATATTCCTCACTTAAAACTAGTTTCCAAAAATAAGATTCATTTGGACTTTGTTAATACTGTACAGGAAGGACCATTAAGAGAAGGCTGGCATCTCCCAAACTTTCCGTAAGGCACAAAATCTCTTTTTGACAAAATAATGCAGTAATTTTTTTTTTTAATGCTTAAAGTAATTCATTTGGAACAAAATCCCCTCTTATTTTCCCCAGAGACTCACTCAGGAAGATATGTGAGAAGATTCTCTCTCAGTTCCAGTGAAGCCAGGTTATAAAGACTAGAAATGAACAGAAGAAAACAGTGTAAGAAAAATTCCTGAGATTCTTCCTACTCCCCCCCTCCCCATACACACTCCATAAGGAGCAACTCTTAATGAAACCAGTATATCACTTCCCAGGGGAAAACTATCACCACCACCCCATTAAAAACAACAATCATCTCTAACTCCCAAATTTTAATTTTAAAAGAAAAAGAGTAGTTTCATCATGATAAGGCACCCTCATTCAAATGCCTTGTTCATTTGATATGTGCAAGTAATTCACTAGTAATCACTGAAAGACAGCCACTCCTGGGACCAAGATAGAAGCAGGATATGTTCTCCTAGACTTTAGAATGTCAAAAATGTGCTGTTACCATAAAAACAGTAATCTCATGGAACTCAGAGCTCTTTTTCCAAACATCAGCAAGAAACCATCCCTGTTTGACAGTAGTGGGCATCTCAGTCCACAGTGCTCTCTACTAAAGATCATAAACTCACAAAGCAAGCGGCAGGAGCTCTATGGAAATAACTGCGATTTAAATGCATTAGGGATAATGTAATAATACACCTCCTGTGGCACCTGGAACACACGCCTGACTCAGTAAATGCAACTACAATACTGTTGCTTTTACTTCTATTAAACCCCAGAATGATACTCTTTTCAGCAGTTTCTCCTGCCTCTTGGGTGTAATCCAGGCCTGCTAGGAGCACCGTGAAAGGAGGCAGGTGTTCTCCCCAGACAATGATTTCCTGGGTGGCAATTCTGCATCACCAGCAACCTCAACATCCAAGTGATGTCAGCACAACAGACTGACTCAGGAGATGACTGATTTGTCTGTTACTCCAACACTGTACTTAGGCACTGTACTAAGCTCTCTACCAATTGAAAACTCAAGCTTTTGCTAATATCACCATAGTAATGTCTAGATTTGGAGAATTTTTATGTGTGAGGGCACAGTACACAGGAGTCAGGCATTATCCCAACACTCTAATCTGCTGTAATCCGCTATTCTCCTTCCAACATACAAGCCAGAGTCATGGGTGCCAACAAAGCTGGTTTCATAACACTGGAAAATGTAAACCTGATTTGCATGAGTAATATATTTACATACTTAACGGCCATTTGCTTGAAAATGTATTTTAACTATACTATGACATGCACAAATTCTGCATCCCCTTCTCCAACTTTAGAAACTGAACAGTTTTCACAATTAAAGCAAGAGCAAACAAAACTCTTTCGAATGTATTATTTTCGGAAAATAAAAACCCCTGCTAATAAGTAATTATGAATTTAATAACATTCTCCAAATAAAATGCAAGCAGGTGGGAAGTTGGAGCTAACAGGTTCTGCTTTCTTTGGACCACAAGTTTACACAGAAGAAATAACAAAGGGGAAGGAGAGAGAGGTGAGGACCCCATCCAGTATCTGCTTCCAAAAGCAATCAGTAGATAAAAGTCATAAAGCAAGATTTTAAAAGTCAGTGTAAAAGTAAAGATTTCCAAAAAAAAGGGCTTTATTTTCAGTTTTAAATTTTCTTGTAACCCCTAGTCAATTTTATTGGGGAGGTGGTAATCATTTGGCCATTTTCACATTTATATTTTAAAAATCAGTGATAGAACTATCATTTTATCCATTCATTACTTTGACAGCTATTTTGACACACTGAAGACATCCACTAGTACAAGGAGGAAAAAGTCCTTATTTTGCTTCAAAACCCTGATTCATTGGGTATCATCAAAGGCATGTTAAAGAGTTGTTTTATGAGCCTTGGTGCTGAGTGTTTACCAAGGTCTGCAGCCTTCACTGAGGCCCCCTTACCTGTCCTCTCTGAATTAAAAACAATCAGCACAAGGATAACACAATTAGTAATGGGAGGCTTTGTGTGAGGTCGAAAGGGGAGAAGCCACAGTTTAAGTCTGTCGAAAGTTAACTCTGCAGGCTTCTGCTTCACTGCCCCCAGGCAACTCAGATGCTCCATTCTTCACCATTTAAAGTTTAAAAACACCCGTCAGTTTGGGGCGAATATATCTTACCTTCTTAACCACAGCAAGAACTCTGGGATTTGTATTGGTTTATGTCATTTTAAAAACACAATACACATTTTTAAATTATCTTTAAATTTTGTCTTGAGGGTCAAAGGCATAGGCCACAGTTACTAAGCAAATAATGCTTGAGCAAAAATACTGCAAATATGCCAACAGACTTGTGGACATCTGCAGCTTAATAATGACATCATGTTAGGCTAAATGCATAGTTCCCACTACTACCATGTTAGCATCCAAATATAACATCCTCTTAAGTAAAAAGGGTCTGACTCAAAACCTCTCAATTTCTACTGTTTTGGGATAGTGGGGAAAAGGCAAAATGTTCAGGATTACAACGACAAATATATTTTTGTAACCTTTCAAAATTCAAAAATGAACTTAAAACAAAGTGCATAAAATAATAGCCTTTCTGAGGTAATGCTTCCCCATAAGTTTAAACTATTTTAAATGAAGCAATGAAACATTATAATCAGACTCTATGGACCCACGGATGAAAGTGTCCCTCTGAAAAGAGCAGATGGAGTCTGAGAGGCGAGAGGCCCCCATCCTGGCCTGTTGCTCACTAACTAGCTGAATCTGCTTAGTTGAGGTGCTTCACCACTGTATCTCAATTTTCCCTTAAGTGAATATAATCCTACCTACTATGGCAAGTAGGGCATAACAATTTTCCCTTCAAGTTCACAGAGCCAGCCTTGTGCCTTATTTCCTTGAGACAGCCCGTTCCTCAGCACAGTCAGGTACCTTACAATGCGTGTACTCTGGGTCAGGGTCTTCTGAAAGATTGCTAAAAGATGCCATTAATCATAGGAGCCATCCCCACTACAGAAGCTCCTTGAAGAACAGGCCCTACAGATGGTGCGCTGTGGCACAGGCCAGCTTTTAACTAACCACGCAATGTCCACAACTGGTGGCCAATGGGAGGGGCAGGACTAGCAAGCAAAGAAACAGCTTTGACTAGACTCCCACCTCCCATATGAGCCCGAACCTCAGATACAATCTGGACTAGTCATTCTCAGTTCAGAGAATCATTAACTTGCTTCTAGATGAAAACAAGGCTTTGGTGCTCATCAGATCTTGCTTAGGCTGGCTCCGGACCAAGTACAGAATCCTACCAGCCCACTCCAAAGCATGGTTCTCCAGGTTGTTCTAGTAACAGCTGATATGAAATAGGATCCACCTGAATGTAGAGTTAGACCAGAGACATCAATTGAAAATGAATGAATGAATGAATGATTTCCCTTCCTAGTCTTTCATAATATGGCATCTTCAACTGAGACTTCAGGACAGTGCCCTCCCCATCAAAGCAACCTATTCAATGCAAATACCTTTGCATCTCTTACAGCAACCTAAACAAGAACTCAGTGCTGAGAAGTGTTGGAGTGGGGGATGTGAGCCCAATTCTGTCTGCTTGAGGCCAGACTCTTAATCACTAGGCCAAGAGAAACAAGGCAACCCCATCTCCACATGCACTTAGCAGCCTCTTCAGCTACAACATGACATCATAGGGACAAAAGGAAAGAATCAGGTATTTCTAATACTTTTACAAATGTGACGAAAAGTAGACACTCGAGCTGTAATATGAGAATTGCTGATCTTTAATGTTCCTACTAATAGTCACATCAGCAGCTTACTATATGACACATATTGTTGTAAGTGCTTTACAAGAATTAACTTTACAGATGAGAAAACTAAGGTAGAGAGGGCACCTGAACAAGGTCTCACGCAACTCAGGGCTCACTAAAGAATCTGCATTTTTAATCACTGTCTTTGGAGGTCTCTTTCTTGAGTTGCTGAGTCAACTTTGTGAATAGGTAGTCCATTAATATATACATAAAACAAAGTATTCAGTGGTAAGTTTTCCTCCCATCTTTGTCCCCCATCTACCCGGCTTCCTGCCACCGTGCCCGTCTTGTGGGAAATCACCTTTTCTGTTAGTTGCTGCTGCATTCATCCAAGGTTTTCCTTTCATGCAAAGACAAGCCTATATGAATATAAAGTCTTAACCTCCTCCTTTTCACGTGGAAGGCAGCATCCTATACACATCTGACACCGCTTTCCTCACTGAACAGAGTTTTGTCTCCTTTCTCACCTGTACATACCTGTATTTTTTTTTTTTTTTT